TGCAACTGCGAGCGTGCTTGCAGGTGCAAACTGGCTGCCAGTGGCGGCTGTGTTCGCAAATTTACTTCATTCTGCGCCCATCCAGAAACGATGTCCAGGCGAGTTGAGGTGACCATGGAAATGCGGGAACAAAGAGGGGGACGGCCGAACCGTGCGAAGGAGGGAGGACGAGACGGAGGAGGCTGGATGGATGGACGAGGGAGTGGGGAGAAGGACGATGAATAGGATGAGGAGGAGGAGGAAGAGGAGGAGGAGGAGGAAGAGAAGGAGTAATAGGAGGAATAAGGAGCAGGAGGAGGAGGGAAGCAACAGGGCCAGAGGTCTCTTGGATGCCCCTCGGAGCCTCTTGGGGTATCTCTTGGGCGCTACTTCGTGGCTTCTTGGGACGTCTTGGGGGTCCTTTGGCGGTACTGGGGGGCTCTTGGGCGTCTTGGGTGCCTCGGGGGGGCCTCTCGGGGCCGCTTGGGGTCCTCTTGGGGCCCCCCTGGGGGCCTCTTGGGGGCCTCTTGGGGCCTCTTGGGGCCATCTTGGGGCCATCTTGGGACCTCTTTGGGCCTCCTGGGCGGTTCCTGGCGTCATCTTGGAGGAAATCGATCAAAGAAGGGGGTGGGTGGCAATTAGCCTTGCCCCCCAAAGAGGCCAGAATGGGGCCGAAACCATAGTAACACCACTGATTTCGGCTTCCTCGCCGAGGCTGTTTTGGACGCCCTGACCGCTCGCGGAACCCTCCCTCCAGGTCCAGGGGAGGGGGTAGGGGGAGGGGTGAACCCCTCCCCGAAGGGGAAGAAGGGGGTTGTAAGAGGAGCCGTCCTAGACCACCTACGCCCATAGGGCTGGTGGGACTTGGTCCATCTTGTTCCACCTGGGAGACCATCTTAAGGCATCTTGGGCCAACTTGTAGCCACCTTGGTCCAACAGCGTTCCACGGATGCTTCCGTAAAGCTACAATCATTCAAACACTAGATGTTTGTCGACGGCTGTGTGTGGTTGAAGAAAGAGGCCGCGTGAATTAGGTTTCCTTCTGTCGGAGCCCGAAAAACAGTTTCCTGGGTCCTCCTGTGACGCTCTTGCGGCGTTCGTGGGCGCTCTTGGGGCCATCCTGAACCTCCCCGCGCGACCCCCCTCGCGCGACCTCCCCGCGCGAGCACCCCCGCGCGAGCCACAGAAGCAAACAAAAACCTGGCCACCGCCGCGCAAGAAGACGTCGTCGGCGCTGTCACTGTAGGCGGCCAGCTTGGGCCAAAGGAGGAAGCACAAGCGGGTGGGAAAACACAGATTTTTGCAAGGCCTTGACAGCGTGTGAGGAAGGCCTTGGAAATAAAACAAGTGGATGGTTTCTCAGAGGGTTTGCACGACCCTTTTTTAAGCTTGGACCGGCCCGACGAAACAAACACAGTCGGAAGCCCAGAGCATGGCTCACAACTGGGCCCGGCCCGCATATGTGCTGTCAACTTCCCTGTATGGGCCCCTCTAGGAACTCTCCTGGGCGATCTTGGAGCCAATTCGAGGCCTCCAGGGCCTCCATCGCCAGGCGGAAGCGAAAAGGTGAGCATGCCAATATAACTGAAGCAAATTTAAGTGGTTTTGCCTTCCCGGGTGCGTCCTCGGGAGGCTCCGTGGCCACTCGGAGCCGTCGTGCGGTCATCTTGGAGCACCTTGGAGGCACCTTGGAGGCCGTCCTGGGCCATGCTGGGCTGCCTTCTGCCATCAGGGAGGCTGGAAAGGACGGGGGAAGAGGTAGACCCGCCCCCGAAGGAGCAGCATGGGGGGGGTCGGGACGAGCCAGGGTCGCTGAGCCACCCGCGCCCAGCCGCCTGGCGGGATCTGCACCGGCGTGGCCCGGGGCGCCCGCGCGCCCCCCCATCGCACGAGCCCGCAACTGGTCGCATCAGATCAGCCAGCTGGGAGGCAGGCAGGCGTCGTCGTCGTCGTCGTCGTCGTCGTCGTCGTCGTGGTCGTCGTCGTCGTCGTCGTCGTCGTCGTCGTCGTCGTCGTCGTCGTCGTCTCGAGCGCACGAACGAGCAAGAGAAGCCGCGCCTGGGCGGGCGGCCGTGAACAAAAGTGGGGCTCAATCAAGCAGGGGCGCGTGCCTCGCTGGGCCTCGGATTACAGTGCACGAGCATGCCCGTCGCCTTCGCCCGGCAGTCTTGCGCAGCGTCAGTGCGGCGGCGACGCACGGCGCGGGCGAGCGAGTTCGAAGGCCACTGGCGGCCTGAAGCGGGCCAATCTTTTGACCGAGATCTGTCGTTAGACTCAAGTCGGGCATGTCCCTCTACAGGAGGAGCATTCAAAAATACCAAGAAATAGTCAGGTGACGATTTTTTATCCGTAAGGGCTTCGCCCCCTGCCGCCGGCCCCCTCTCTCGGAGAATGGGCCATGGAAGAGCTAAGTCATGAGGCTTTGGCGCTGTCGTGCAGCAGTATCGGAACTTCATGCGAGGCCGATTCGCAATCGGCAAAACCAACTGATCACAAGAGGGGTTACCACACAGGGCGATTGGTAAGACGTGTATGGTTTACGAGCTTGGTTACCACACCTTGGGATTAAAGGGCCGAGGGAGTACTCGCAGTTTGGGTTACCACGCCTTGCGATGGATGTGCGTGAGGGGTGGCACCGAATTTCAGAAATGTGGCAAATCCCCTGTGTTTTTGGACCCTGACCCCGCGGATCTGCGTGAGGGGTGGCACCGAATTTCAGAAATGTGGCAAATCCCCTGTGTTTTTGGACCCTGACCCCGCGGATCTGCGTGAGGGGTGGCACCGAATTTCAGAAATGTGGCAAATCCCCTGTGTTTTTGGACCCTGACCTCGCGGATCTGCGTGAGGGGTGGCACCGAATTTCAGAAATGTGGCAAATCCCATGTGTTTTTGGACCCTGACCCCGCGGATCTGCGTGACCCTGGCGGATCTGCGTGAGGGGTGGCACCGAATTTCAGAAATGTGGCAAATCCCATGTGTTTTTGGACCCTGACCCCGCGGATCTGCGTGAGGGGTGGCACCGAATTTCAGAAATGTGGCAAATCCCTTGTGTTTTTGGACCCTGACCCCGCGGATCTGCGTGAGGGGTGGCACCGAATTTCAGAAATGTGGCAAATCCCATGTGTTTTTGGACCCTGACCCCGCGGATCTGCGTGAGGGGTGGCACCGAATTTCAGAAATGTGGCAAATCCCCTGTGTTTTTGGACCCTGACCCCGCGGATCTGCGTGAGGGGTGTCGATTTCGAGCCCCCCCAGCAATTCAGACAACGCGCCCAGGGGGTGCTAAAAAATCCTGTTTGGGCCTCCCCCCCCCTCGCGCGGTCAATCAACTAGTTACAGTAACCAGCAAGAAGCAGAACTGTAACACTGGAAACTACAAACTACAACTGGTACAGGAAACTGCGAATCACGCGCCTACAGCCTGGTGGCCCCACAAGGGGGCCGGCGGGTAGTTTTTTTTTGGGGGGGGGTATTTTCGACAATTTTTTATTTTTCGCCCAAAATCCCCCTGTGGGGGGACAGGCCCGACCTAAGTCCACAACGTGTCCGAAGCCAACGCCGACGTTCATCGGAGGCGATGATAAGGGGCGAATCGCCGAGGGGCGGGCGTTGCACGCGTCCCTCCAGGAGCCACGCCGAAAGCATGGACCATCGGCGCCCCTGGATACATGAATTGCTCCCCCGTTGGCTTTTCACCCCTATCGTCGCCTTCGAGTTCATGGGCGCCCACAGGGGGGGTGGGGGACTGGATCCAGGGGGAGAAGGACCGACCTCCAATCTTAGGTCGGGCATGTCTCTCTGCAGGAGGAATCTTCAAGAACAGTCGAAGCATAGTCCGGGGACGATTCTCTCGACCATTCTTGAGATTCGTTTTTGAGTATTCTTCGACCATGTCTGATCAATCTTTGCACCTTTTTGGCTATTTTTTAAGTCTCCATACGAACCCCGCCTGCAGGGGGACACGCCCGACCTGACCCCGAGCGCCCACTCGTCGCCGCGCGGGGCCCGGGTGCCCCCCCCCCCCCACCCCGCCCAAGGAGCGCGCGGGGCGCCGCCCGCGAGGGCCTGCCGCGTCGAGGCACACTCGTGAGGCGTCGCCGCTTCCAAGACGAGATGCAGTGCTCCCCCCCCCAGCCCCAAGCCAGGCCCGCCCTGGCGTTCCCCCTCGAGCCAGTCCCCCCCCCCCCCCTCTCTCGAGCCTGGCCCACCCTCGCGTTCCCGCCCACGCCAGTCCCCCCCCACCCCCCTCGAGCCAGTCCCCCCCCCCCCTCAACAGCCAGTCCCACCCTGGCGTTCCCGCTCGCGCGTCCCCACAGCAGCGACCGACTGTGGCGACCGGGCTTCCCGCGAACGCGGGGGGGCCCACCCTGCGCCTGCCGGTGCCCCTGCGCCTGCCTGCCTCTTGCGGGGGTGCTTTGTGCTGGCGCGCTCTTCTCCCTGGCCCGTGCCCGACTCGATCTCGTTGGTCCGACTCGATCTCGACAGGCTCGATCCGCTCCGATTGCGACATCCCGACGTCGGTATCGTTTAACCGATCGCCATCCCCGTCCCCATCCCGCTCGAGACCCCCACCAATGTACCACCCCGGTTGGGGATACACCCCTCGAAACCCGAAGGGAACGACCCATATCCCCATCTGGGGGGGTAAATCGGCCAGTGGGGCCCAGGCCACGCCGCTGGGGATGGGGATCGGTTCAACAGTACTCCCGACGGTCCGATGCGGCCCGATGCCTCTGCATGGCGCCGTTGTGTTTTGTGGTGTGGCCGATCCGATCTAGTTCCGGCCCCGTGCCGGTGGCAGCAAGATCCGGCGCACGTTCTGATCCGACCCGACTTTTGGTTCGATTCCGACCGATCCTGCTCTTCCCTTTACGCCGTTTTTTCACCCCGAGTCGTTTTTTGATCGTCCCAGGGCCCGATAAGGCCCCAAGAGACCGAGGATTTTGGGGCGTCGATGCGCGAAGTTAGGCGACCTAGTATGCCGCCGTATTCAGTGCTGATCATGATTCTGCCTGCTGCAGGTCGTGACGCTGCTCCAGAAGATGGAGGTCGCCGTGAAGGCCGAGGGCGAGAAGGAGAAGGACCTATTCGCCTGGCCTCCTCTTCTCAGGGGACCCCGAGCTTTTGTTAGGTTTTTGAGTGTTTTTGTTTTTGTGGGTTTTCCGAGGCATCGTCATCTCTTCCCAGACCCACTCGCGTGTTTTTTTTTTTGCTTTTCTTGTTGCAGTCTTGGGACGTTTTCGGCAGCGGTCGGCGGTTTTCCGGCGTTGGAATGCTTTCCAGCAGCTGCGCCTCGCCGAGCGCGTTCTGGGGTTCCCGAATCGTTCCGAGCGGTTGCCTGAGACCCGAGTCATCACCGAAGGCCAGGCCAGGGCAGTTGCGCTGGCATCGACTCTCAATCGCCCCTTCCTCGTCACTCGCGGTGTCTGGGTGCCTCATCCCCGCCCAGGGACGTGCAGTCTTATGGCTCCCCTTTCTTTCATTCCTCCCTTCAGTTTCTCCCTTGCCCCTCCTCCGTCTTCTTTCGTCTGTGTAATTACCGAGTGTGGGTACTACTTCCTTCTCTCCAGTGACAACGCGTGGGCTTGAATTCGCCACTCTCGCGTATTGTTTTCAAATGCGTTTTTTTGTTTTGCCGCACGTGCTCCTTCTGGCCGGCGCCTTCCGCCTTAGCAGCATCTGCTTCCGCTGCAGCGCTGGCCGCTTTTCCGTGTTGGTGCATGGTTTCACAATCGTTCGGAACATTTTTTTCGCTCAACGAGGTCCACCCTTCTGGATCCAATTCTTTCTACGTCGTTGCCGTCCCCCTCATTTGGATACCCTTTTCCGTCCCCCTTCTTTTCCCCCTTCTCCTGCTATTGATGTTTTCTTTCATCTTCAGTGCCTAATTTTCAAGAGTAACCCGTCGCCGATTTCGTGTCAAACGCTGTGTCAAGTCGCGATTGAGATTTGAGGACCAACGTCTTCTGCATGACTTAAACGGGTTCCACGCAACGAAGCATCTTGGGCGGGATAGAGATGTAAGATAGCAGACGTGCCGAGGGCGCACTTAGCCTGGTTGTCCAAGGACGAGTTGCTCTCTCTCGAGCGTACACGCTCCGTGACAAATTCAAGCTATTCAACGGTACGGTTACTCCAGCAATGCTATACGTGTGTGTGTCATGGGCGAGGAGGACGAGGAGGAGGAGGAGGAGGAGGAGGAGGAGGAGGAGAAGGAGGAAGAGGAGGAGGAGGAGGAGGAGGAGGAGGAGGAGGAGGAGGAGGAGGAGGAGGAGGAGGAGGAGGAGGAGGAGGAGGAGCCTGGAACAGCGAATCAGATCAAACCAGCGGCTCGTGCTACGCATGCTTATATCGGTCCGCCGCGGAAGCGACGTACCGGCACGGGCAACCGCGACGCTAAGAATTCTATCGAGCCCTGGGTGGAGTGGGTGCGGCGTACTGCCCACACGGCGGAGCAGTCTTTTGCAACACATGGGCTATGACAGTTGCGTTGACAAGCGAAAGAAAAGGAGGTAATGCTGGGCACGAGAGACATAAAAGCAACCATAGCCCGGACAAGCGGAGTCACAAGGCATATTTCTGGGATCCAGAGCTCTGCCAAGGGGCCCGAAGGAGACTGCACGGGCCCCGAAGCGGATGGACGGGTTTGCTCTGGGGGGCCGCGGCTCCACGGCCGTCCTCTGCCCGAGTCACCCCGCGCGCGCGCGCGGAGCGGAGTCGGCGCTCGCCCCGCCTCGCCGCCGTCCCCAGTTCCCCGTGCTCCCCTTTCCCTCCTCCCCCCTCCCCTGCACCGTGCCTCGGCGTGAATGCTGCTCGCCTCTTGCCCCGGACGCTGTCCAGGGCGGGGGCCCTCCCTCCCACGTGCATTCCACACGCTTTGTTGCTGCTGCTGCTGCTGTTGTCGTCGTCGTTTTCCATTTCCCGCCGACCCGCCCCGACCCGACCGTTAGGGCCCGGCCCGACCCGACCCGACCCGCCCGTTAGGGTCCGCCCCACTCGACCCGTCCCGCCGTCCCGACCCGACCCGCTGGGGCTCTCGCGTGTCCACTCGCACATGCGTCATACTTTAATGTCCCGCCGACCCGTCCCGACCCGCCCGTTAGGGTCCGTCCCGACCCGACCCGACCTGCCCGTTGGGGTCCGCCCGACCGGTTCCGACTCGACCCGTTGGGGTTCTCGCGTGTCCTTTCGCACATGCGTCATACTTCAATGTCCCGCCAACCCGCCCCGACCCGCCCGTTAGGGTCCGACCCGTCCGGGCCCCTTATCTGTATTCTTACTCCTCGTCATCCTCTTTTCTCATCCTCTCTTCTCCTCGTCCTCACCCTTCTCCCTTCGCTCCCCTGTCTACCCTCGTCTCTCCTCCTCCGCACTGTTTCTCCTGACTCCCCCTTTTCACTGCTCCTCCCTCTCACTCCTCACTCTACCTCTCCACCCGTCATCCTTGGTATCATTCTCATTCTTCCTCGATCTCACCCTCTCCCTTCTCTCTCCTGCTCCTCGTTTATCCTCCTCGCTCCTCCTCCGCCCTTCTTCTCCTCACTTCTCCTTTCACTCCTCCTCTATAATCACTCCTCACTCTACCTCTGCACTTGTCTTCCTCCTCATCCTCAGTCCTCCTTGTCACTCTCCCCTCCCCTCGTGAAGCGGAGGAGTGAATCGATCCCCACTGCTAATGTTTCTATGTGCGTGAGGAGGGCTCCTGGGAGTTGTTGATCGTACCCAGGCTATGACGCCTTTGGGGTTGGCATTTTCTATACTTACCCTGGGCCTGACCCCCTAGGCCTACCCTAAGCTTACCTCTAGGCCTACCCCATAGGCCTACTTTAGGCCTACCTCCAAGCCTTGCACCCAGGCCTATCCTGGACCTACCCCTGGGCCTACCCCCTAGGCCTTCCCAGGCCTACCCCAAGGCCTCCTAGGCCTACCCCTAGGCCCTGGGTAGGGCCTACCCTAGGCTATCCTAGGGCCTTGGGTAGGGACTACCCAAGGCTACCCTAGGGCCTTGGGTAGGGCCTAGGGTAGGCTACCCTAGGGCCTTGGGTAGGGCCTAGGGTAGGCTCCCCCCCCGGGTTATATACCCGCCCCGCGTCCTTCCTCCTCTCCTCCTCCTCCTCCTCCCTCCTGTGCATCTGCTCTCCGCGTGTCTCCGCTTGTTAATTGCGGTACACCCCTCACACGTTTCGTGGCTCCATAGGGAGCCCCACCTAAGGCACCAGTGTCTGCCTTCGCATGCAGTTCCACCCCGCATCTCGGCGCACCCCTCACACGTTTCGTGGCCCCATAGGGAGCTCCACCGAAGGCCCCTTTCGCATGCGTAGTGCCGCCCCCCATTCTGCCCCCCCCCCTCCACAGGTCTCGTGGCCCCATAGTGTGAAACTCAGGTAAGCAGGGATGTGAGATTTAGGGTGATAATGAGACTTATCTCTGCTGTTGCTGCTCTCGCTCGCTCGCTCGTGCTTTGTGCAGTGTCCCTCTCGCCCGCAGCCGTTGTGGCTCACAAGCTGGGCGGTAGGGTAGACGCACCTACTCACGTGTGGTTTGTGTACGGAGATAAAAGATGTCATTTCCTTTTTTATCTTGTGCTTGCATCGAGTACTGGTGGGAGGGATATTGTGATTTATATTTGAACTGGTAGCCTGGAGCTGTATCAGTTCCGCGGTTGTGAGATTCATATCAGAGTGGCCGTGCAAAAGTACATGCTGGCGCTCATCATTCTCGCGGTGCTTTACCACTGGGCTTTCCATAGTTCGGCTATCAACGCCCACAGCCTCATCACTTGCAGCCTGGCCGACAATCGTTGCAGCAACGAGCCGGACAGCAGCAGCAACTACAACATCAGAGACGAGCTGAACGATAACACCATCAGCAAACACAAAATGGCGGCCAGGCAGCAGCAGTTCAGCAGCGACGGACCCTTCTTCGTGGACAAGGAGGGCTTTGTACACTACTACGGAGATCCTGCCTACGGCGAGGAGTCCGCAGAGCGTGCAATACTCGGCTATCATGCGAGCGAAGAGAAGATCCAGAAGCTCTGCGCAATCAAATTCAAGAGTTCGTTGAATGGGCGAGCGTGGGATGTCACGAGGAAGGTCGAGATTGCAACGCAAGCAGTGTTGGACAAATCAGGTGGATACCCACTAGCTGCAGTGAGGTTGGTAGTGGCCACAGTGCGACAAACGTGGGAACGGATCGCGCCACTACGAAAGCAGCAAGCATTCGAGAAGTTTTTCTTGAAATGTTTTCGCAACATGTCGGAGTCGATGCAGGATTGCATATCAAGGCGGGAGACGGAATACCAGCGGCTCTAATCTCTCTCGGCAGACGCGACGGTGAGCGAGGACCTTCGGACATACTTCTTGCTGCAGTTGGCAAACATCAGCATGACTGAGCATAAGGCGATTCTCAGACATTGCAATAGCGAGTACATCTGGGACGATGTGACTGCAGCGATGCTAATCCAGCTGGACACCGCATGCAGAGATGAACGTGGACGCGGACGGTATGGGGCCTCCCCGGTGGACTACGGCGACGATGATAAGGAGGCCCAACTCGGAGACGAGTGTGGCATATGCGACGATGACGGGTTTCTGAGCGATGAAGACTACGACGCCCTCGCGGCCGACATCGACGAGTTCGAGGGTGTGATTGACGACGTCGGCCCCGAAGAGGTCAGCCAGGAGGAGTGCAACGCTCTAGTGGTAGAGGCTCAGCGTCTTGGGTGGGAACCTGGGCGACAAGGTCACGGGCCTAACTGCGAGCAAGCCTGGGAGAGGCTCGCGCAGAGCAAGTCCAATCGAGGCTGGAAGGCCAACGTCAACAAGCAGGGATCCATAAAGATGGGCGGCAAGGAAGCCGAAGACAAGCTCAATAAGATAAAGGCTCGCACGAAGTGCAACGCATGCCACAATAAAGGTCGCTGGGAAGGCGGCCCGGAGCACGAGGGGACAAGGCCATCATGCGGCGGATCATCGAGCAGCCTGCAAGGTGGAGGACGAGGTGGCGGCCGAGGCTTTCACGGACGACCTGGAGGTTTTCTACGACGGGCTGGGTTTGCGATGGCAGCGGCGGTGAAGCTGCT